GGTCCCCACAGGGGCGGGGCGGCCTGCGGCGCCTCTGTAGCCTGGCGTGCGCCCGCGAGGGCGCGAGTGCCCTCCGATTTCTTGCCTCCTCTCCGGCTCCACCCCCTTATTCCCTGGGTGTGTTTGTGTGTGCTCTCTTGTGTGTGCGCGAGGGCAGTTTCGCCAAGCGCCGAGAAACCGCTTAGGCTGGAGAGGGATCCCGTGCTGCTTTGATATCTAGCTCCCCTCAACCCACTCACCTAGGATCTGTACCGGGAGCTGTCGGAGTTTCCTTCATTGGCGCAGATGGCCAGGGCTGGGGTGCGAGATGTCTCAGATTCTATGAGACAAGGGTCATGGGACCCCTACTTCTTCTTGACATCTCCCAGAGCCCTACCCCAAGAGCTCCCCACTTTTCCACTGCTGACCCTAGAAAGATTGCCCCTCTTGACCCTGGCAGTTGTAGAATGTGAGGTGACACCGCCCGTCTGGGGCTGAAACTCTTGGTTTTCTTTGCCCCAGGCTAGGGTCAGAGGACACCTATGTCCCCTGCCCCGTGTGGAGAAGAGAGTGGGGAAAAGCCCTTGGACCTTGTGAAGATTATTCGTGGAGATGAGGAGGACCTTGATGCCTACCTCCCTTCATGTGCCCTCTCCCATAGGAAGGGCTGGGCCCCTGGTGAGTTTGGCCTCTACCTGCCTAGCCTCTCCCAGAAGCAACTCCTGACCTCTGAAGATTCTGTGGTACCAGACCCTAAGCATGGAGAAGGCCAGCTCTTCCTGAGCCCTTTGACCCCCAGGGTCAAGGTCAAGCCCCCGAACCAGCAGATGGAGAAAACTTTCCCCTTAGCCTCATTCTGGGAAGGAGGTACGTGATACCCTCTTTCCAGAGGGTATGTGGGGATATGCAGGGAGACCTTAGTGAACCTGGGAGCCAAGGTGATTTTCTTCTGGCTTGGGCTGTAGCCCCTGCTTACAACCCCAGCTCTGCCCTCTTACCTGTGGCAACCACCAAGGGCCCTGTCTCTCAGGACTACAGGTTGAGATCAGAGTGAGGATCTCTGGTCCGCAGCACCCAGGGTGTGCTGCCCCTTTAAAGGGATGATCACGGCTGACACTGGCTATTGGAGGGTGGGCACGGCAGGATTAGGTAACCAAACCGAAGGTGCAATTTGGAGTAAATTGCTCTGGGATCCCTGCCATGGGGTTTTTACAGGCCCTGCACAGCTCAGAGGAGGTTCTCTCGCTGACTCACCCTCCAAGGTGAGGAACACTGCCCTCTGCAGCCCCTATCCACCCCTCCCAACCCCCAGCCCTTCCCCACCTCCCCACTCCCTTGCCCAGGACTGGGGCACAAGGGGCTTGGGCTGGGGTGCTCAGAGGTGAATTCCTTTGCCCTGGCATGCCCCTGAGACCTAGGCCTCCCTAGGGGAAGGTAGACTGGGAGAGACCAGGGAGGGACTTAACCTGAGGACGGGGTCATACTAGTAGGGAAGGCAGAACCCAGGAACTCAATTCCCAGTTCAGGGCACTACTTCCTGATTCCTTTTGGAGAATCCTGGGACAGGGTCAGCTTAACTAGGGACCAGGTCTAAACAGGAAACTCAACTCAGTTTTAGTATTACTGCACCTGAACTCTGTGAGAGGAAAAGACTGGTTTATTTCCTAGGATTAGAGGGGCTGTGATTTCTTCAGGAGCTTCACCTTGGAAATGCTGTGTGACCCTCAGTCAGTTCTTAGCTTCTCTGGACCTCTGTTTCTCCAGTGGCCAGGGCTGGGTTCTGGTCTCTGTTTTCTGGGCCTGAGAGTGTGCTGAGCCCTGGGTACTGCGGCCCATTTTTTCCCTCCCCCACTCCACGGAGGTGCCAGGTGACTAGATGTTATTGTTTGGGTAACAGGAGCCATGGGGAGCCAGGACGAAGGTTGGGCTGTTCTCACTGGAGAACAGGGCCTCGCTGTTCTTAGCCCAGGTGAAATGTAAGTGATACAGTAGCCTGACCTGCAGGTACAGGCGCTGCCGCCGGCTCCTGGCCTGGAAGGAGGCAGGCAAGGGATTGGCGGGGGGCATTTGGCAGAGGCCTGGGATCTGGACTGCCCTGCCTTCCCCATGACGCTACCGAAAATGGGCTGCTAGGAGGCAGGGCCTTGTCCAGGGTGTGGCCCAGGTGGAGTAAACCCATTGGAAATATAGGTGAGATGCTGCCTGGGCCTTCCCTGACCCCGCTGGAGGCAGTAACCTTGGTCCCAGGCCCAGCCTCGCTGTGTACAGTTTCACTGTGGGGTGCCACCCACCCCACTTCACCTCTGTTACCTTATTAAAATAAAATAATTCTCAAAACAACTTCTCAAGGTAGAGGTTATTACCCATTTTCATACAGAATAACTGAACTCAGAGGAGATCTGGCTGTGAATTAATATCAGGGTCAGAATTGGAACCCAGATCTTTCTTCTACTAAGTCTAGTGGGGTTTAAGGAGAGGGAAGAGCTGCGATCAAACTGATCCAGGTGGAAGGTATTCCAAGAGAGGCTCCGGATGTTGGCAGACTCTTCTGTCCAGCCTTTGCTGAGGGCTGGTGGTGCCAGCCGGCTCTGGCACCTGGCCCCAACTTCCAGCAGCGTACAGGGCTGCCAGTGCTGGGCTCTGAACCCAGCTCCTGGGGCTGCTTCCTGTCTATGGGGCACGTGTTATCTTTGTCCATCTGCTGCCCAGCTTCTCCAGACGCTGCCCTGGCCCCTTTTCCCAAAACAGAGCTACTTGGGTAGGAAGGAAGGATGTTTGTTGGAACCCATCTCTGACCTCTGGGGACGGGGCATGGTGGTCTGGGGGTCCTCGGCAGTTGTCCCCATGAGCAGTGTTCTCTGAGGAAGCGGGAAAAGAATGGGTCTCCATCCTTTTAAGAGGCCAAAGGGCCTTTCCTGTACCAGACTTTTTATTTAGACAAGATCTTTTATTCAGTATTCTGCAAACTCGGAATCATTTCCCCCTTTCATTCATTCATTCATTCATTCAGTCAGCAAATATTTATTGAGCACTTATCATGTGACAAGGACTATTCTAAGCAACAGGGTGCAGCTGTGAACAAGACAGACCTACCCTCATGGTACAGATGAGGAAACCGAAGCTCAGAGAAGCAATATGACAGACCCAAGGTCAGAGTGAGTGTCTGGTAGTGCTAGGATTAGCATCTATGTTCTTTTCACCAACTGTGTAGCAGTCTGGCCAGAGGGGCAAATGAACCTTGTCTTCCCAGAACCCTGGTTCAGAGAGGGAAGCTCACCTGTGGTCCTTCTTGCACTTTCAGTCCTTTCTCCAGGGCTGCCTATGCCCCTGTAGAAACCTTGTGCATCAGCTCCTACAGGCATGGGGTTCCACGAGGATGGCACCCCGGCCAGAGGCCCTGGGACTGGGGGCAGCCAAACAGGGCCTTTGGGGTCCCCTGAATCCTCCAGGATGCTGCTCTATGAGTGCACACCTCTGAGAATACCCAGCACCTCCTCCCCTCCCTCGTCGGGATTCAGGCTTACAGCCACGTGACTCTGGGTCATGACCCCATATTTGTCACTTGCTAGCTGAGGGATCTCAAGTAAGTCCCTTAACTGTCTGAGCCTCATCTGAAAAATGGGAGTAACAGAACGTACTCTGGACTCCTTACTCTCTTTGCTAAAACATACTGTGTCTCGTTTGACAGACTGTGTGCTGGGTGCCAGAGAGATGATGCTAGACAAGCCACGGCTCCTCCCTGAGTTAATCAGCAGTTTTCTCAGTACTGTGAGGCCCAGAGGAGGGAGGAAAGGACGTGAGGCTGCGTGGACAGAGGAGATGACATTTGAGCTGAGTTCTGAAAGAAGACCAGGAGTTTGCCAGAGTGACCAGGCAGGAAAGGTTTTCCTGGTAGAAGGAGCCACCATGCAAATGCTTGGGGATATGAAATAAGCTGGTCTGTTCAGGGTCTCATGTTGTTTGGTTTAGCTCCAGAATAGGGCCCAGTAATAATCATGGTGATTGCTTATGAACCAGTTATGTGCCAGGTGTGTATATTTTATAGATTCGATTTTGTGTGCTTCTTACAGTCACTCAGTGAGGTACATTATTTTATCCTCATTTCACAGATGAGGAAACTGAAGCCTGAGAAATGAAGTAACCTCAGGTTCATGCAGGTGGTAGAACCCAGAATCTGAACCCACAAAATCAGGTTCCAGAACCCACATTCTTAGTCACCTGTGTTGGGCAGTTGGAGATGACAGCTTCGAACACCATGCCAAGGAGCTAGGACTTTATCCTGCAGGCAGTGAGGAGTCATGGAAGGGTTTGGGGCCTGGTACATAGAAAGTTCTCAGTAAGGAGTGAGTGACCTGGGGAGTCAGTCACTCAAGTGTAATGATTAATGTGATGTAATGAGTTTTAGGAAGGGTCAGGGTTTGGAATGGGGATGGCTGGTGTGTAGGCTGTTGACCATCTCCAGGAATTATGTCAAGAGTCTAGAATGCTGGGTGAAGTGGAACTCCATTTACAAATGCATCGCACATGCCTCCCCCACCCCTCAGCCCTGGTTGACCTGGTCCTTCTCCCCAGGCTTCTGAGAGATGACATGTATGTGTATGTGTATTTGTGTGTGGTGGGACCTGCAGAACACTGGCCCCCGGGGAGGATTGGGGCATTAAAGGAGCTCTGGGGCAGGGTGTCCTGGGAACATAAGACATAGAGGCGCTGCTCCAGGGGCAGGGAGATTATGTAATGGGCAGAGCACAGCTGTGCTTGCTGCTGCCGAGCAAAGCCACAGCTGCCCTGTGGACCCGGCCCCTGGCTCCAAAGTCCTGGGTCTTCCTAGCCTCTTCACATTCTTGCTGTGGAGGGGCGGGAACAGCTCCTTCCAGCTTCCTAAGGCCCAGATGGGGTAGGTTACTCACCTCATATCACACAGGAAAGGGATAGGCTGGGTTTGGTATGCTCCAGGGTGAGTAATACCCACCTGAGGGCAAAGTCTGGGGGCTGGAGGAAGCAGGACTGCCCAGAGATGGGCTCCAGTGTCTGCCTCTCTGCAAGTTCCCCTGGCTGAGCTGTGGGCTGTTCTTTCTCTATGCTCTTTTGAGCACCTTCTGGTGTCAGTGACCAGATTTTGAATCCCCACTTACCAGCGGCGTGACCATAGGCACCCTCACTAGGTCCCTACGCACCTCAATTTCTTCCTCTGCCAAATGGTGCCAAGGCCTCCCTCCCAGGTCAGGAAGTGTGAGGCACTGAGCCAGTGCCGGGCATGTGGCAGGGGCTGGGAAGAGAGCAGCTGCTAGCACCAAACCCTAATCTCTGCCCTCCCAGGACTCCCAGTTTATTAAGAGGGGCAGACCTGTGTGTAAATAATTCCTGCATGGTGATAAGTGGTAGAATGATGGATTGCAGGGCCACAGTGGAGCAGTAGTGACTCTCCAAGGATGGCGAGGGGTCCCTGAGCAGGGAAAGCCAGGGCAGCCACCATCTCTGGGCTGCACACTTTCCCAGACTTTGTCTTCTTCAGCCCTTGCAGCAGCTCTGGGAGGTGGGTGTAAATACCCCCATTTTACAGATCAGGAAACTGAGGCCTCTTGAGTTGATTAGTTGGCATGAAGTCACAGTTTGCCTGTGGCATTGCTGGAGCCCTTTCCTTCTCACTAGGAGGAGGTGACATTTAAGCCAAGACTTCAAAGATGAGGTGTTTGCCAGGCAGAGAGGATGAGGGAGGGATGCTGGGAGATGCTGTGCCTGAGTTGTGAGGGGATGTTGCACGAGGCTTGATGCCTTTGCCCTCACTGTGAGAGTGCAGGGAGAGGGGATTCACCCAGAACTTCTGCCCCCACTTCCATGGCCCTCCTAGCTATCGGGGGCAGCCAAGGGCAGTGGTACCCCGTGGGATCTATCTTCACTCTGTGCTACTCTGGTGAATTCTGACAATATTCCCCAATCTCCCTTCTCTTTCCAGAATGGACAGGCCCCAGGGGAAGAAGCTGGACTTCAGCTGTCTAAGGTAAGGACCAGGGTTAGCACTGGGGCTAGGGACTGTCAGGCATGGGGAGACTGTTTGTATGGCTGTGGAGGAGTAAGGAGGCCTACCCTCATCCCACCTGAGTGTAAGGACCCTTGACCCAGCTCAGCCTTCCTTCTCTGATCACACCTAATCCTCGAGGCAACTCTGCACGTCAAGATTACTTGCTCTAACCTTCGTATTTCTCAGGTGAGGGGACTGTGGCCCAGACAGGGTCAGGAGCAGAATCTAGGCTAGAACTCAGGTTACCCATCACCCAGGGCAGGACACTTACTCAGTTTATTTACTCATGGCAGCTTGGCTAACTATATTGAGGGGGTCCAAAGGAGTGATGGGAGAGGCTCAGGTCTGTGGGGCCTGACAAAGGCCTGGAATCATCTGGGCACATGGTGCTGGAGGGAACCTGGTAACCTCAAGTCTAACCAGGGCCTAGTGCCTGGCATGTGGCACACAGACCAGTTCTCAGGGTTCCCACTCCCCAGCCCCAGGATGACTCCCTCTGCCATCTCTGCTTCCCTGAGCCCCTCCCATTAGTCCCTCAGCTCCTGTTGCTGATTTTGTGTATTGACAAAAGTGCCAAGGCTGGGTGACAGTTGTGTGACCTTAGGTGGGTCCTTTGTCCCCTCTGGGCCTGAGCTTTCTTATCTCCATGTTGGGAAAGATCACACCCAATTCTCAAGGAGATGTGAGGTCACAGAGCTGCTGGCTGTGGAGGGACTTTGGAAGCTGCCTAGGCAGGACAGAGCATGGGTTCTGGCCGTAGAGCTTACCTGAGTTCAAACCCTGGCTCCATCCTTGCCATTTGACCAAAATCTCTTCTCCTGTCCAAGTCTCAGTTTCCTCAGCTATAAATTGGAAATAATAGCGCCTACCTCGCAGGAGTGATGTGAAGGACAAATGAGGTAGGAACTGCCTGGCATACAGTGACTTCAGCACCAGCTGCATGAACGCCCTGATGTGTAACTCAGCTCCACTGCCTGTTAGTGGCCACACCCTCCAGGCCTGGGTCTGCCTGGGCACCAGAAAGTAAGCTCGACCTTTGAGATAGACCTGGGGCTGGTCCTGATGTTTGTCTTGACTCAGCCTCCTAAGATAAGTGAGCTAAGCTACCTGGGGTTAGGGCAGGGTGAGAGAAGTAGTCTCCTAACCCCTCCTTCTTTGGTATTATGGCAACCTCAGGCCACAAACGGCCAGGCTAAATCGTGTGGACTGGACCCCTTGACTTGTCTCAGCGCCATGTCTGGAGAATCGCCTCCCACAGAGTAGCTGCCCTGATTGCCTAGTAATGAAATGAGGAGCTGTAGGTCTCCAGTGAAGACCCACGATCTTTAAATCTTGGGGCTGTGGTTCTGGGGGTTGCAGAGGTGTTTGCAGCTTGGAGGGAGCTGGTGGCGAGTGCAGCTTCTCACCTCAGAGCTAGAGGGACTAGCTGGGAGAGGGCAGGAGTTTACTAAGGTGGGTAACCTACATCTGCTTCTAAGCCTATAACTCCTTCCTGCTCCAGAGCAGAAGATCCTGGGGTAGGGAGGGAGGCGAGGCTGGACATGGATGGAGCAGGGAGAGCCTCAAATGCCACATTAAGGAAAAGAAAGCACCATGCCAGGACTTTGGTTCTCATAAAACCCCTGGAAGTAGAGATTGTTACTATACCCATTTTACAGATGAGAAAATTGAGGCCCAGAGTCACATAGCTGATGGCGTTGGAGTCAAGTCTTGCTTGACCACAGAACCCACACTCCTCCCAGCCCAGGGAACACTGAGTGATGAAGAGGAGAAGGAGCATTGGGTCCCAGTGACCCCTAACTTCCCTCATTTCTTGGCACCTGCTCATTTACCTTCTCTGTTGCCCCAGAACCTCATAGTATCCCCAGTGCCCACTTCTGGGCTCAACACACCAGGGGGCGCTCAGCCTGTGGTCAGGACCTCATGGCTTTGTGCAGTAGAATAAGTTGGCAGCAGGCTGGTTTATCTTTGGCTTCATCAGACTTTCAGTGCACCCTACTGTGGCATGGGGACCACAAAATGAAGTCAACATCCCCACCCTTAGGGAGTTCCTAATGTTGGGAGAAGGGTAGTGACAGGAGAGCTGTGATGGAGAAGAGCATGCTGTGGGCTCAGAGAACCTGTGTTCTGTGCCAGGCCTTATGGTGGGCAGTGAAATATACCACCTTCCCACTTGTCTCTCAGCGGCCTGATGAGAGGAGCGTGAGAGCGGAACCCAGCCAGTGGCATCTGAACTTGGGGCTGAGTGTGACCAGATGGATGGTCATGGCTGTGTGTGGCAGAACAGGAAGAGTTGGGGTGGGCTGTGGGGCACCAGGTCACCTTCCCTGCAGAGCTGGCATTTGGCTGGGCCTCAAAAGACAGGATTTAGGTAGCTGGAGACATGGGCCTTCTATGTGGAGATGAGGCTGAGAGGGGGACTTGTGAGTCACGTGCTCTGAGTTTAGACTCCCGCCCCTCTTTCCTGTTTGCTGTATAACCTTGGGCGAGTGATTTGGCCCTCTGAGGATCAGATGCTTTTTCTGTAAAAGGATAATAGAGTCCAGCCCTCAGGGCTACCCAGAGGAGGGAGTGTGATGCGTATAAATTAAAGAATCCAACAGGGTTTGAGGCATAATGTTGGTGTTTAATGCTTGTTTATTTTATCCATTTCAGGGAGAAGTGGGTAATTGGGGTTTTAGGAGCCACAGTGAGGACTGCAGTCTAGGGTGAGAGCTCCCTGGTGCACCTGGCGCCCTCAGGAATGCTGGGGCTCCATTCACCCTCCCTCCCTTCCTGGGGGTGGACTGGGCTCCCCAGGCCCCCTCCCCCAGCTATCTCCGGAGCTGGACCCCTTTGAAGCGCCTGCAGGTCTATTTTGAGAGCTGAGCATCCCCCCTCCCCTCCTCTCTTCCTGTTTATGAAACCCTGATCCCTCCCGGATCCCTCCTGCTCCTCTGGCTGGAGCTCAGGCAGGATGTGACTGTGGACTTCGGGGAGCCTTGGGAGCCTCAGGTGTTGGGGGGAACTTCCCTTGGACTGGCCAGGGCAGGCTAGCTCTCTCTCCCAACACCTGAGACCTGGTGGGCTCTGTCCCTCTAGCCCACCCAGAGAAGACCCTGCCGCAGTAAGACTCCTGTGTAATCTAGGGAGTTCTGTTTACCACATCCCTTTGTCTCTGTGGCCCATTTTGCTTCTAGAAGCAACCTTTTGAGGGTTGAACATTTAGTTTTAACCTCTGTTTTACAGAGGAGGAAACTGAGGCTCAGATGTGGAAAGAGATTTGCCTGGAAACACTCAGCTAGTGAGTAGATAGTTCTTAACTTCCTACACTCCTGGCTTCAAGTCTCTTTTCCACACTGGTCTCTCTCTACACGGAATATCTTTTTTCTTCCTTTCTGCCTGGCTAACTCCTGTTCATTCTCAGAGTCCAACAGGACTGCCCTGTCTCTGGAAGATCTTCCCTGACCTCACCCCAGGCAGGTAGTTACAGCCTCTGGGCACTTGCAGCACATTGATTACAGCTCTGTGTGGGACAGTTGTGTTTTGTTTTGTGTATTAATTTTGGGAAGTTGCCTGAGGACAAGGCCGAAGTCTCCCTTAATGTGTGCGCCTCCTAGTGTCTGGCTTCTGACCTGGGGACAGAGAAGCCATTAGCTGTGAGTGATGTCCAGAGGGGAAGCAGGCTGGCAGGCCTTGCAGGAACGGTGATAACGAAGTCCTTAGAGTGTAGGCTTTGGAAGCAAACAGACTGATTTTGCCCTGAGCTCTTCCCCTTTCTAGCCACGTGGCCTTGGGCAGGTCACTTTCTCTCTAAGTCTAGTTTCCTCACCTCGAAATGGGATGACAGTACTTCCCTTGGAGCTAGGACACAGGGCCTGGCAGAATCTACACCAACAAAGGCTGAAGGAAAGAATGGCTTCATGTAATAAATGCTCAATTAATAGATGCAATTCTTATTGTTATTCCATGCCAGTCCTAGCCTCGTGCCGCAGGCCAGCTCCACCAACAAGGATGCCTGGGAACTGTGGACCCCTCCTCACCTGCCCAGAAGCATACTGGGAGATGTGTCTTGCAGATGCTGCCAGCTGGGGGAGGGGCTGTTGGTGTCTGTTTGGGCCAGAGATTAGCAGGTGGGCTTGGGCTGCAGCTGGTAGAGGGAGGCCCTGGATGGGGACTGGGGGTCAGGCTGCGGGGCTCTGGGCTTCTCTCCAGCTGCCTTGTGGGAGGAAGTTAATAAGAGGAAGTGTCTATAGGGGGAATGGGGCAGGGACCCGGGGCTGTGGTCTGCTGTTGTCCTCCCCACTTCTGCCACCAGAGGCCTCAGAGGCCCTGCACATACCCTTCAGGGAAGGCACTTCTGAGACTGTTTCCTTCCTGTTGCCCCTTCCTGTACTCTGCTAGCCATGGAGAGTCCTTTGCTTCTGAGGGACACAAGGGTTGGTGGGGGCCCAGCTGGCACTGGACTGGAGAGCTTTGGGGCTCCCAGGGCTGCCCCAGCCTCCAGACCCCTGCCTGAAGAAGCTGGGGAACAGTGAAAGGCCTCAGGCTAAGGAAGCATCTTTCACAACAGCCAGCAGGCCATCAGCCTGTTACTGGAGGCCTTGTGAGGTCTGGAAGGGGAAGTTTGGTGTATGTGGGGGATGTCTGTGGAAATGGTTTCCGATCATCAGACTGTGTGTATTTGTGTGTGTGTCAGTTCCTGTGGGTGTACTGGTGTGAGTGATGTGGTGAGGACATGTGGCAATGGGCTGGGCCTGGTCAACCCTTGCCCCACGGCTACCTGCTCCTCCTCTCAGGCCTCTATGAGGTCCATGCTAGGGCCTTCTGTCCCCTTGCCTGTCCCAGGGCCCAAGGCTGGCAGGCTTCTTTAGGGCAGGGCTGGGTGTGGTGGTGTTTGCTCTGTGGGCTGCCATTTTGGATGGGCCCAGTCATGAGATGGTCACTTCGGAGAAGGAGTGCGTGCACATGCTCTGGGCTGGGGCAGTAGAGATGGTGGCCTTGCTGGCTCTGCCCCCGCATTCTCTCAAGGGGATGTTTTCAAGTGTGAGGTGCCCACTGTGTCACCGCCCCATCGCTTTGTAACTTCTGTCTGTGTTCCAGTCTCCCTTCCTGAGGGTCAGAGGAATTGAGGAGTGTTTCCCTGGGCCCCCTGGAGTCATGGGCTTGAGGTCTACAGTATCCCCTCCTCAACAGGGGAGCCTGACCCATCATGTTCTGTCCCTCCTCCCTGCAGAGGGGGAAGTGAGAAGGAGGGTGTCAGGGACCCTGCCTTCTGGGCCAGGAAAGCTGAAAAAGCAGAAGTAAGGGGAGTAACCGGGCCCTCTGGCCAGCGGCTGGGGCCCCACTATGCAGACCCCGGCAGATTTCCCCCGGGTTGAGAGAGACTGGCTCCCCTGTCTCAGAAAGGTGAGCAGAGGGTTGGCCTGCCTCCAGCGGTATCTGTCACCATGACTCTGGGCAAGAAATGGGTTTGAGGGTGGCTCTGTCCCCTAGGGTTTCCGGGTGACTGCCTCTATCCCCAGGGAGTGTTCTCAATCAGAGGCAGCCAGACATGCGGAGGCTCAGACCTCAGGGCTGGGTAGGCAGGTATTGCTGTGTGGTCTTGGCCCTCACCAGGCCCTCTCTGAATCTGGGTTTCTACCTGTCCCACCCACTGGGTTACACTCAGGGGCCTGATTAGCCTGCAGCCTTTTGTGACTGCAGCTTTTGTGGCTGTTCAGGGTCCCCTGAAGAGGGGGCTGTGTCTCTTAGGGTCAGGATCTAGAATGGGAAGTCCCCAGACTGTCCCTGGTACTGAGGGACGGGGCAGACTTGAAAAGGCAGGTCATGGCTCTGGCTGACTTACCTGCCCACCCTTTCCTGGCATTTGAGGTCTGCTGACCAGGGGAAGGACTCAGGTTCAAGCTGGCTCTGCCACTGGTTCATTTTGAGCCTGGATGAGTCACTGTCCTGTGGGCCTCAGTTTCCTGTTCCTGAAATGGGGATGACAGCCTTGGGATATTTGGATCAGAGTCAAAGTCATCAGATTGCATTTGGGAGATGTCCCTCTTGGTCCAGTGTCTTGGTCCTAGGCCCTTCTTGAGCCCTGGCATGGGAAGAAAACCCCATAGAAATGGAAATGCTCAGAGATGGGTCTGCCACACATACTAGACTGCTCTCCCAAGTGCTGAGGGTTTGCATGTGGTGTCCCCTCTCCACTTTCCCATCCCTAAGCAGACCAGCAAGAACCTGGAGCTCCATCCTTAAGTCCAGGACCTGACTCTGGGTATCTGTGTGTCTTTCTTGCCTGTGTCTGCCCTGGGTATCTGTCAGCCTCCTTGGGCCACACTGGCACTGGCTGTCTGAGTCTGCTGCCCGCCTGCCTCTACTATTGGGTTCCTGTCTCTGTCTCCACTTAATGAGTGCCTGTCTTCACCTGTTGGGTCATATCCCCTTCTGTCCCTGCCTGTTGAATACATGTCTCCATCTGTCTCCACCTGTTGGATGCAAGTCCCCATCTGCCTCTGCCTATTGGATCCCCATCTGCCTCTGCATGTTAATCATGAGTCTCTGTCCACTTCTGCCTATTAGGTATGAGTCTCTTCCTGCCTCTGCCTGTTAGGTCCATGTTCCTATCCATCCCTGCCTGTTGGGCACGTGTACTCTCCTACCTGTCTGTTGGATGCCTGCCTTCATCTGTCTTCACCTATTGGGTGTCTGCCTCTGCTTGTTGGGTGTCCCTCTTTATCCGTCTCTACCTGTTGGGTGGCTATCTACTCCTTAGCAGCTGGGTTGGCATGGGACTTTCCCTTTGCAGGCCCACAGGGAGGATGGGGGGAGGGCCACAGGGCAGCCCTCAGGCAATGGGGAGGGGGGAAGAGAGAGGAAGGGAACGTGGTAAGGGAGCTGGGAAACCACAGGCCCTGAGTGATTGGTGGCCCTGGGTTGGGCCCAGCCCCCGCCTTCACCCTGCACATCCGCCTTGGGCCTGGCCACCTCCGCAGCAGCCCCGGCCCGTTGCCTGCTCCTGCCATGGTGCCTCGGCCCTGTGGGGCGGATGGAGCAGGATCCCAAGCCGCCCCGTCTGCGGCTCTGGGCCCTGCTCCCCTGGCTTCCCAGGAAACAGCGGCCCAGGATCAGCCAGACCTCTCTGCCTGCCTCTGGCCCTGGGTCTGGCCCCAGGCGGGACTCGGTGAGTGTGCCCAGATGTCTGGGCCTGGCTTGGCTGTGGCCCTTGGAGCAGGTGCCTGGGTAGCCAGTTTGGCCTCAGCTGGCTCTGGGCTCTCCTTGCCGAGGTCTGGCCCTCCTGGGTGATTGGACCTTGCCACGACTTGCTACCAGGGGAAATGAGGAGACACTTCAGAGCTCCAGGGCAATATCGGTTAGATTGGAGGGAGAGCAGAGGGGTCCTAGAACAACTGGGACCCCTGGCAAGGGGTTTCTAATAGACTTGTATGAAGGAAGTATCAGAGGGTGGGGCATGGAGTCTCTGGTCTTAGCTCCTACCCACCCGACTGGCACTTACTGGGTTGGTTGGGGAGCCTTAGGTGACTTGGGTCCTTGTGTATCTCAGCCCTGTCCTTCTAGCCAGAGAGAGACTATCATCCATCCTGACCAGGAACAAAAGCCCAGCCATACCTTTCCAGTGTGAGAACAAACCCTACTTCCTATTGTGGCAAAACCAAAAGCTTTGCAGCAGGGGGAGGGAGGACCTGGGGCAGGTCTGTGGGCCTCAGTCAGAGCCTGGGGTTGGCTCAGCCTGGCCAGCCTGGCTGTGCCCAGGCATCCCTCTGGGCCTGACCAGGCTGGAGCAGCAGGAGCAATAGCAGCAGTGCCTCACCTTAGCCGGCACCTTGGTAGTTTGACCCTCCCCAGCTTTTGAGGCCCTTTTGGTATTGATGAACTGGGAGGCCCTATCAGGGTAGCTGTCTGGTTTGGCCTGTAGGACCCTGTCTGCTAAAGTCTGGTGGGAGTGGACTTGGATGGGGGGACACACCCTATGCTGGCCTGAGTGGGGCCCACTGTGCCTACCAGCTCTATTCTTCCATTAGGATGAGGGCGTCCTCAAGGAGATCTCCATCACGCACCATGTCAAGGCTGGCTCCGAGAAGGCCGACCCGTCCCATTTTGAGCTCCTCAAGGTTCTGGGCCAGGGATCCTTTGGCAAAGTGAGTCCTGAGCTGGGAGGGCAGCACTGGTCATGTCAGAGATGGGGGTGGGAGGGTTACCTTGGGGCTCAAAAGATTAGAGGGCTAGGGTTGATGGATCTGAGAGGAGGAGAGAGGTCACTTTGATACCCAGGGGTCGCCTTGGTGCTCAGGGAAGTTGGAGGTCAGCCTGGAAGCTGATGCGTGAGAGCTGTCAGGTTCAGCCCCCTCCCCAGCTTCTCCCCTGCTTTTCCTCACTGCCTTCGCAGGTCTTTCTGGTGCGGAAGGTCACCCGGCCTGACAGTGGGCACTTGTATGCCATGAAGGTACTAAAGAAGGCAACGCTGAAAGGTGAGTGGGGGATACCTCTCATGCAGAGCCCAGGCTGGGCACAGGATTGAGGGAGACAGCCCAGTTCTCAAGGACCTTGGGTCTGATAGAGGAGATAGCTCTATCACCAGGAGTACATGGTCTGAAGGTAGAGAAACAGGCCTGTTCTCAGCCACTCCTTATCCCTCCCCTCACCTGATGGCAAAGACAGGGTCCATTCAGAAGAAAAGACGCCCGAGGATTAACCCGACCCCATCCCTCTCCCCCTAAGCCAATGCCAGTGACTGTAGCTGAACGTGACTCTCTGGAAGAATGCAGAGGATAAGGGCAGTGTGTTTGTGGGGCTCAGAGCTTCAGATATCAGGCATCAGTTTGGTTGGATAGAGGCGTTCTGTCAGTGGAGTTGCTTTGCAGTGCTCAAACCTCTCAGGGTAGAGAAGGGCATGAGAGGAGGAAACCCAAGGAGGGAGGCAGCCGGGCAGGTAGGAGAGGGTCAGTCAAGGCAGGGTCACAGAGGTGGATGGCAGAGAGATTCAGAAGGGAGCTGAGCCTAGTTCTAGAATTCCAGGACTTACAAGAGGCTTGAGGGTGGTTGGTAACTGGGCTTTGAGCTGGGCAGTGCCTCTTTGACCAGCCTGGGAACCAGGTGGAGTAGGCCCCGGCTGAGGTGAGGGAGGCGAATAGGAGCAGTTGGCCTTGGGGTCGTGCGGCTACAAAGGCTGTCTGTGGGGTGATGTAGCTGCGGTGCCCCAAAGCCAGCCTGGTAGGGATGGGAGCCCTTCCCCAGGAAGGATGGTAGGAGGAGAAAGATGCTGTGAAGGGCTCCCAGGCTGGGGTGGCAGAGGCTGGGCAGATCCCACCATGCAGTGCAGTTGGTGCTGTGACCGGGGATCCCAGGGAAGGGTGGGTTATACCCTCATAAGTGCTGGGCTCACATAAGAGTAGCCATTTGAGCCGTACCTTGAAGGATGAGTTAGACATTCTATAGACTGAAAATGCAGAGGAAGGATACCCCAGGAAGAAGTAACTATGTCTGAATAGAAGTATAGACATGGTTTGAAAATGTAAGGTGTACTTGGAAAACAGGGACTAGGATAGTTTATCTAGCATGGTCCCAGCCATGTCTGGTGAGGGAAACAAAGAAAGTTAAAATAAGAGTGAAAGGTGCTCTGAAGGGGGGAATCATAGCACTGCAAGAGTTCAGAAGGCCCCAACTCAGCTTGGCAGGTTAAGGAAGGCTTCCTGGAGGAGAAGAAGCCCGAACTGAGTCAAAGAAGAACCTACTGATGATCAGAATTGCCTAGCATCTTTTACTCTTTAAAAAAGTTAAAAAAGAAAAAAGTGTTTATGGGATACTTGCTGAGACCCATGAGTCTGAATTTCAGGCCCAGGGAATCTGCCCTAGACTGGAATTGGGGACTTTTATGCTAGATGGAGAGGGAGCTGATGAAGGCTCTCAGGGGAAGCCACAGGGGCAGAGGCTAAGGGCACACAGGGAACAAGTTGCTAGACTGGCTGGATTGAATGGCCTCCTTGGGGTATGGTGAGAGACAGGGCTGGAGAGATGGGCAGGACACCAAGGGCCCAGCCCTGGTCACTGCCAAGAGATTTGAGAAACAAGTAGAAAAGAGAGCCCTTCTTATTCAGGGCTGGGGGGATGGCTGTGTTGGCTGGCTAGGCCCTTGGTGACCGCCTTCCTCCTCTGGCCAGTGCGTGACCGTGTTCGGACCAAGATGGAGAGAGACATCCTGGCTGACGTAAACCATCCATTTGTGGTGAAGCTGCACTATGGTGAGACCAGAGACCCTACCTTAGCTCCCACCCTACCTGCCAACCTTTGCCCTTTGCCGGTGGGCTGCTGCCTTTGCTGTATGTTGCCCTGTCTGCCACCCAGCAGACCAAGGGAACCAGGGGCAGAGGGGTAGGGCCCAGGGCCCAGCTGGCTCCACCATGGCCTTTTCCCCTCTCCCTAGCCTTCCAGACCGAGGGCAAACTCTATCTTATTCTGGACTTCCTGCGTGGTGGGGACCTCTTCACACGGCTCTCTAAGGAGGTGAGATAATGCCCCACTGCCAGAGGGCCCCAGGGTGGAGCTGGGGGGACAGTGAGGCCTCCCATCCCAGGGCTCTGTGAAGAACATGTCCGATGTGGCCTCAACCTCGGGCTCCCCAGGTCTGCCTAGCAGTCCCTGACCCACCCTGGGAAAGAGCCCATTCCCTGGGAAAGCATCTGAAGGATTCCCTCAAGATGGACTGAGGAGGATCAGGCCCCAGATCTGATGCCACCCTGATTCCAGGAGCTAAGGGTGGCTGTCACCTCTTCACTTCCATTCTTTCAGGGCTTCCCTGGGCAGAACTATGAGGATAGGGAGAAGGCTGGTTCTACCCAGGAAGCTAGATACTTGAACGTTATGTCCACCTGTTAACCAAAAGGATCTTAAACTGACATCCAAGAATTTGAGCCAGATGTAAAAATGAGACCATTAATATAACTTAAACTTCAGAACAGAACCAAATTTTTTTAATTTTTAAAATGCTATTTTAATGTTTGAATAGGTAATAAATGATTGCAAAGAAAAATATTATTGAGAAGTCCTCCCATCCCAGCCCTCTCTACCCCCCCATAGGTAAACATAAAAACATAAAAACTGGTTTCTTGTCTAAGCTTCCCATGTGTCTTTGGAAATACAAACCAATTCAATATGTGTTCTAAACCTTGACCCCTACTTTCATACATAAAAAGTATTATTTTGTATATATACCTTGCATTTTTCAAGACAGTATGTCTCGGAGATGGATCTGTATCAGAACATGGAGGAACTAACTCCTTGTTCTAGTTTATGGCTGCATAGCGCTCCGTTATGGGGAGAGACAGTTTATTCTAGTCTACCGTTTGACCCTTCAGCTGTGTCCAGCCTTTTGCTATTTGCATTTCAATGCTACCATGAGTGACTTGGATATTAGTCATTTCATTCTTCAAACTCCTTCATAAAGAGAAGGGTGAATGGCACTGGAATCTCTAAGGAAGGACCAGGGAGCTGCTGACTGCCCAGTGGCCCAGCTCCTGAGGAAGAAGCCATCCCAGTGGAAGCCTCTTCCCACCTATTGCAGGTTATGTTCACGGAGGAAGATGTGAAGTTTTACCTGGCCGAACTGGCCTTGGGCCTGGACCACCTGCACAGCCTAGGCATTATTTACAGAGACCTGAAGCCTGAGAAGTGAGTGAAGCCCCAGCCCCACCCAGCCTCCCCTAGCCTGGCAGGGATGGGTCTGACTCCCCACAAGAAAGTCCTGCTCTTTTGGGGTGCCCCATGAATGGGGAGGCGGAGCAGAGTGGTGGTGGCAGCAGGCTTACTAGGCGGGCTGCCTGAACACTACTGCTACCATTACCAGGGGCCAGGCACCTCTGTGCCTGGGTGTTACCTCGATGCCACCATTAAAGGTCATTCCTTGGTATGACCCTCTCTGGAATTTTCCTTAGCACCTAAATATCCTCAAATGATAACTTGTGGGCCGGGGGCAGGTGCTGAGGTGGAAGGAAATGTGGCTTTAGAGTCAGGCAGACCCAAATTTAAGTCTCATCTCCACCCTCTACGAGTTTTATGACCAGGGGGAGTTATTTAACCTCCCGGAGCCTTAGTTTCCTCATCGTTAGAATGGGGCCGTGGAAGTACCTACCTCACACAGTTGTTTCAAGAATTAGCAAAAAGGTAGGCAACAAACCCACACAGCACCGCCACCACCAGCTCCACCCACCCATACATCAGAGGGACCTGGGCAGATCACCTTCTCTGGGCTGGGCCCAACCCCCTCAGCTCCCTTGGTGTCACCTGAACCAACCAAGGGCCCACAGCAGCTGAGGGGTCCTGACTCCCTTCTTTCCATTGCAGCATCCTTCTGGATGAGGAGGGCCACATCAAACTCACTGGTGAGTGGAGGGCACCTGCCCCCTTAGGTTTCAGGGGAGGGCAGGATGGACTTTTAATGGGCCTGGGCTGAGTGCTAGGGGATCTGTTCTTGAGAGGCTGTGCCAGGCACTTGGAAGTGGTCAAAGGCCCAGGCCTCAGACCTGGAATGGCCTAGGTTTGAATCCCAGCACCCTCCTGTGTGACCTTGGGCAAGTCACCTATCCTCTGTGGGCCTTAGCTTCCTCCTGAGTGTTATAGAGGTGATCCCCTCAGGCCTCTGGGCAGGGGGGATGAGTGTGCAGGGGTGGCAGTGAGGGAGGCAGGCAGGTCCTGAAGATGTGTCTTCTTACCCTCATTGCCACAGACTTCGGCTTGAGCAAGGAGGCCATTGACCACGAGAAGAAGGCCTATTCCTTCTGCGGAACGGTGGAGTACATGGCCCCCGAGGTTGTCAACCGCCAGGGTCACACCCACAGTGCAGACTGGTGGTCCTATGGAGTGTTGATGGTGAGTGCCCAGGCAGGGGTAAAGCATGCAGCCCAAGCCTTGGGCCTCAGTTTCCGCATCTGTATAGTCAAGGGTTGATGGTCTCTAAGGCTGTCCTCTTGTCCTCTCATAGCCAAGCTGGCCTCACCCTCCACCTAGCTGCAATTTCCTTCTGTGGGAGGACTCTCGGCTCTACCCCAGGTACCCCCAGCCCAGGACTGGGCTTCTTCCCAGCCTCGGGTCATTAGTACCACTGCTTCTTGTGATCTGATTGACAAAGGGGAGGGGGCAGACACAATTCATGATCCAGGTGGACCTCCAATAGGCCAGCGAGAATCCTGGGAATGGAGCTATGTGGCCTGGGTGTGAGGAGGTGGGGCATGGGAGATGGGACCAGAACCTGAATAGACCTTTGTCCTCTGCAGTTTGAGATGCTGACAGGCTCCCTACCCTTCCAAGGGAAGGACCGGAAGGAGACCATGACACTGATTCTGAAGTAAGCTCCGGCCCCTCACCTCAGGGTCTCCCCGGCCCCTGATCCCAGTTTGGGGGCCAGAGTAACACTCTATACCTGCCAGAGATTCCCCATCAATGAGACACTCCGCTGGGTCAAGCATTATGCTTTCCAGGGCTCCCTTGTCACCCATCAGGGCCTGTGGGAGGGGATCCCTTAAGTCTTTGGGAGGTGAGTGAGTGGATGGCTTGTCTGGACTGAGCTGGAAACTAGATCTGGACAGAGGCGGGAGCTGAGACAGGGCTTCTGGGGCGGGGCTCAGCCCTGATGAAACCCGGGGGCTGTTTCAGGGCAAAGCTAGGCATGCCCCAGTTTCTGAGCACGGAAGCCCAGAGCCTCCTGCGGGCCCTGTTCAAGCGGAATCCTGCCAACCGGCTCGGTAAGCAGCCCCAACTCAGGGGAGGGGACTGGGGTACAGCTGTGGCCTAGGCCATGGGGCCACATCTGGGGCTGAAAGGGGCCGTTGTCCTTTGTGTGGGCAGACAATGCCGCCGGCCACCCTGCTTTCTGGCTCCATGTGTGGTGTTTGTGGCAGGGGGGTGACCTGTGTGTGGGGGGAAGGCAGGAACTGAGTCATCTCCACTCCCCCTGGGGATGAGGACAGAGGCCCCCCCATAGTTCCTCGGCCAAGGCTGCTGGCACAGGAGCAGGAGCACGAGCTCAGGCGTCAGAAGGCTCAGGTCCAGATCTCGGCCCCGTGTCAGGTCCCTACTGCTTGGCACACAGTGGTCCCTCCACAAATATTTGTTGAACAAATGAGTGCCATTTATGAGTGAAGTGACCCAAGGCAGTTGACTTCACCCCCCGGAGCCCCAGGTTCTCGTCTCCATGGGGGACAATGGTCTCAAGCTCTGTTGATTAAATGAAGTCGTGTGAACATGCTAGTAGTAGTAGGTGCTTATTATGTGTTGGCTCCTGGTTCGCCTGGACCATGACCGGTTTTGTAAGGTCCTGTCCTGGTCCCTGGGGTTGAATGGAGCGAGAGCCTCTCTGGTGGCTGACAAGGGTAAAGGGATAAGAGGAGCAGAGATGAGGCCTGGGTTGGGAGGGAGGTGGGAGCCCTCTGCAGATCTTGAAACAGGTACAGCCTCTGTCCTGACTGTGTGGCCTTGGACTAGTTGCTGAGCCTCTCTTCTCTGGGTCTTCCTTCTCCCATCAGTACTTTGGAACTTGATCATAAAGGGGCCCCAGGAAGTGGAAAATGCTGAGTGGGCAATAGGCCTTGGGGTGATGGCTGGTTGGATTTGGGGCAGCATGAGCCTAGCCTCCCTCCTGCTTCAGCCACTGGTCCCAGACCACAGTGAGGCCGCTTGGCAGACAGGGTGGGTGTCTGGAGGTTGGAGCATCCAGGGGCAGACCCCTCATCTGGGCTCTTTCAGGCTCCGGCCCTGATGGGGCAGAGGAAATCAAGCGGCATGTCTTCTACTCCACCATTGACTGGAATGTGAGTGTGTCTGTCCACCCCAGAGCCCCATTCAGAGCTTCAGCTGTGGTGGGAGGGAGCTATTACCAACTGGAGCCTCACATGTGGAGCAGAGGTGACAGCATGGCCTTAGAGACACAGGCTGGTTTCCTGAGGGCGAGCAGTTATGCCCTGTCTGCATAGCCTGTGCTCCAGGCCATTACCTCCTCCTGCATGGGGCTGCTGGCGGGCTCAGGGGGTGCCACAGTGACCAGGGTGCCCACCCCCACCTTGCAGAAGCTGTACCGGCGTGAGATCAAGCCACCCTTCAAGCCAGCTGTGGCACAACCCGATGACACCTTCTACTTTGACACTGAGTTTACATCCCGCACGCCCAAGGGTGCGTTCCTTGTCTGGTTTGTCTTTGGCTGGTGTAGGATGGATGCAGGGACTTGGGGGCCCCTTGGGACTCAGAAGTGGTCAGGACTCTGGCAGGCCCAGGTGTGTGGGCAGGCAGGCGGGTGGGTCTGACTCTTTGTCCCCATCTCATTCTGCCTGGCTCTCCCACTCCAGGGCTCTGTGGGCCTCTTTGTGCCTGGGTGAGGGGGTGGGGGTGAGTGGGTGGTTAAGGCCACAATAGAAAAGTCAGAACCCTTGCCTGGGGCATCTTTTGCCCACTGGGAAGACCAAACTCATCAGGCTCACATTTTCATCAGGGCTAAAGAATCTGACCCAGCAAAAACATGAGGTGGAGACAGTCTGGGAGAGCAGAGGTGACAGCGCCCACAGGTCAGGGGCAAGTGTGGGAATCAGCTTTAGCTACTCTGACCTCTGGGCTTCAGTGTACTCATCTGGAACATGGGCTCAGCCACAGACCCACTTAGTCCATGGGGTTACTGCTAGAAGCCAAGGAGGGGGCTTCTTAGAGGGAACTTGGTAAATCTAGTATTTCGGCCAGGTACTGGAGAAGAGTGTTTGTGCTGGAAGGCCTCCTGGAGGGGCAGGTTTTAGCAGAGGGGCTGCTTTTCTCACTGTGTCTTACACATCTCTGATGTTAGAGAGCTTAGCATTTCTCTGCTAACATTTCTCTGCCCAGTCTGTCCCATGTTTATTTATCTGACAGATGTGTACCAGGTCCCTACTGTGCGCCAGCCATGGGGGGATTGATGATGAACAAGACAGACCCAGGCCCTGCCTTCATATGGCTCAGGCTCTAGTGGGGCTTGAAGAGATGTGAGCACAGCTACTGGGCAGCATGACAAGTGCCCCTTAATAGGGGCAAGGGGCGGAGGAGCAGCATCAGGCCAGATTCTTCAGATGAGAGTATGTAAGCTAAGCCTCAAAGGGTGGACCAGGAGTGGATTGTCTGGTTAGCAGGAGCAGCATACGCAGTGGCTCAGAGTCTCTCGTAGGGATCTGAGACGCCTGGCATGGCTGAGCCGTGGAGTGGGGAGAGAGGAGGCTAAGATCACAAATACCTCAGTTGCCACCTGAGGGCAGAGGGGAGCATTTAAAGGGTACAGGCAAGGGGTAGATTTGTGGTTGGAACTATCCCTCTGGCTGCTGCGTGGGAGATGGACCCAAAGGGGCAGACCAGAGGCAGGGAGGCCTCCAGGAAGGGATGAAGTGTCTTGGCCTGGGCCGGGTGGTGGATGTGAGGGTCTTTATATTCCTTGTGTGTCAGGGCTGGGCTGGTCTAAGCACACATGGACCGGTGGGCTAACTAAGGCTGGGGATGAGGGGCCCTGCACAGGCTCCCACCACGGCCAGCTGCTGAGACAGGCCTGGAAGACCTGTGGTCCACTTTGCTGGGCTACCTTGGGTCAAGGGTACCTCCTCCGCTCACATCCCCCTCCTGCCCCTGCAGACTCCCCAGGCATCCCCCCCAGTGCTGGTGCCCATCAGCTGTTTCGTGGCTTCAGCTTCGTGGCTACTGGCCTAATGGAGGACGATGGCAAGTCTCGGGCTGCGCAGGCGCCCCTGCACTCGGTGGTACAGGTGAGGGACAGGAGACTGCTGCTCAGTTGTCCTTTTCCACCTATAAGGCTCCAGGGCAGAACGGCTGAGAACACAGGCTCTGGACTTGGGTAGGCCTGGGTTCAAACCTTGACGCCACCATGGAGCCCATTGGGCTTCCTGCCTCCTTGAGCCTCAGTTTCCCCATCTGTAAAACAAGGATGACAGCATGGATATAAATTTCCTGATACAGAGCCAGGACATTGTAAGGCCTGGATAAATGCCAGGGGGTGCCCAGGGTGGTGGTGCTGGGGGTGTCAGGTCCTGACAGGGATAGGTAGGTGGCAGGGCACTCGTGCCTCCCATTTCTACACTTTCCCAGCTCCATAGGAAATTTAGAGTTGAGACCCAAGAACACAGACTCTGAAGTTCACTGCCTGTGTTCAGGGCTTCCAAGGTCAGGAACTGCTTCCTCATCTGTAAATGGGGATGATGATAGAACCTGTCTCCAAGGGTTGTTTCGAGGATTATGGGAGTTAATGTGTGTAAAGTTAAGGTGACTATGTGATTTATTTTCCAGCTGGAATATCTTGGTTCCAGACAAATATTAAACCAGACTGGATGTGAGGATGACAGGCATAAACCAGGGCTGTCCATGGGCTGTGTGGGTCACCCGGTGAAAAGTGCTGGGAATCATGCCTGCCACACATTAAGCACCATAGAAGCACTTGATACTGTTAATGTCTCAGAGCCTTGAGATACCCCACAAGGTGGGCTCTGTCACCCAGAAAGGGAGACAGCTCACCAAAGGCCACAGTAAGTGGCAGAGCTGGGACCCAGCTCAGGGCTCCTGCATCCCTCTCAGGCCTGCCTGGTCTTCTCAGAGCCTCAGACTGCTCCGTGTGTCTGTTGTAGCTCGTTGTCTGCCCCCTCCAGCAGCCCCTGACCACAGACTGCAGCCCAGGTAGCCTAGAGCCAGCGAGTGTGCCCATCACATTGTGTAGAAAACTGAGGCCCAAAGAGGGGCAGATACTTGCCTGAGGTCACACAGCCAACATCCCATAACAGCCCTCCTGGCTGATATGGAACCATTTCTACTGATCCAGTAGGTTCTGGGAGTTGACCCTTGCATTCAAGAGCAGAGGGTCAGTCCCACCTTTTGGTCTCCTGCAGCAACTACATGGGAAGAACCTGGTTTTTAGCGATGGCTACGTGGTAAAGGAAACGATTGGTGTGGGCTCCTACTCTGAGTGCAAACGCTGTGTCCACAAGGCCACCAACATGGAGTATGCTGTCAAGGTGGGCCTCCTGACCATGGCCGGGAACGCTGGGCTAGGGCTGGGGTGGGGGCAGTGTAGCCCCAGCCCTTTGGTCAGGGAGGTTGGTGCCTCAGGCTCTGTGGATGGGCGAAAGATGTGCAGCTGAGACTCCATGCCCTGCAGTGTGGGCTCTGTGGCAGGGAGGGACTTTGGAGTCTGTCCCCCTTACACTGCCACATACACCCCCTTTCCTCAGGTCATCGACAAGAGCAAGCGAGATCCCTCAGAAGAGATTGAGATTCTTCTGCGGTACGGGCAGCACCCCAACATCATCACTCTGAAAGATGTGAGTGGGGGTCCTTGAGAAGGGTGGGGGCTGGAGCACTTGACTCCAGGATTGGTCTCAGGCTGCCATTCCTTTGACTTTTGATCCTCCTCCTCTGCTTATGGATGGGGAGGTCCCTTGGTGCCTCTAGTCTAGCTGTCCCCAGGAGCATTCTCTGAGAGCTTTCCTGCTCATCAAGGGGACAGATCTAGCATCTTCCTTTCCAGAGAGGACAGGGGCCCAGATAGGTGAACGCCCTGCCAAGTGACTGAAGCACAGAGCATAGCACATGCCCAAGGCTCATGGCCTGGTGAGCTGCTGACCAAGGGGCCCAGGCCTGGCATCGAGGGGAGGGGCCTGATGGTGAGGTCTCTGGCAGGTGTATGATGATGGCAAACACGTGTACCTGGTGACAGAGCTGATGCGGGGAGGGGAGCTGCTGGACAAGATCCTACGGCAGAAATTCTTCTCGGAGCGTGAGGCCAGCTTCGTCCTGCACACCATCAGCAAGACAGTGGAATATCTGCACTCCCAGGGGGTAAGCCTTGCGTAGGGGGCACCGAGTGGGTGGAGGGGTCTGCCAGGGGTCATTACCATCAGCAGAGTGCATGAACCATAGGTGGCCCAGGCAGAGGGAGTCTTCAGCCAGACAGACAGAGGGGAGACTAGGAATGGGTGATTGAGCAAGTAGTTGGACAGAAGGAAGGAAGGGAGGGAGGGAGGCAGAGATGAGGCCAAATTGTGAAAACGAACATTTTTTCAGTACCTAGGCAGGCATCATGCTAAATTCTCTCCTTACATTATCTCAATTGATGTTCACAACAACCCTATTCAGTAGGTGCTGTTACTGGCCCCACTTTATAGGTGAGACGTCTGAGGCTCAGAGATGTGAGTTCACTTGCCCAAGGTCACACAGCCCGGGAAGAATGGAGCCAGAATGTCTGTCTAAGGAACTTGGGTGGAGAACTACAGATGGGAGTGGGTTTTTGAGTTAGGAAGCAGCAGGATCACCGTGGGAGCTACAAGGCTTCATGGAGATGAATCTGGCCGTGGGTTCGGCTGTTAGAACACAGGAAGTAGATGTAGGAGGAAATGCTGCTGGAAACACAGAGGAGTTGTATGTCCAAATGGTAGAAACTGGCCTTTATCACTGCACAAGGTGGAGCTGGAAAAGGTCCCTATAGGTATCAAAGCCAAAAACAGGGTCAGCATGAGTTTCTGTCTGGACGAGGTGATGTTTTAGTAGGGGTTAAGGATGAGGCTCTGGAATCAGACTGACTGTGTCCAGGTCCTGTGTGTGAGTTTGGGAAAGCCTCTCACCTCTCTGTGCCGCTTCCTCATCTGCAAACTCACGGTAAAAGAGCTGCCCCCTCACAGGGTGGACGTGGAATGAAGCGAGTGCTGTGCTAGGTGAGCACCACAGTCCAGTGCAGTCCCATGGAAAAGGCCACAGGAATGTTAGGGGGAAATAGGACCAGATCATTGCTATGCCTTTTTTAACATTAGCTTTTAGTACAAAAATTTCAAACATGTATGAAACTATAAGAATAGTGTAATGAACCCCCAGATACCAGATTCAAGAATTATCAAGATTTTTACCTCCCTCCCTTCTTTCTTCCTTCCCTCTCCTTTCTTTCCCTCTCTCTGTTTCCTATTTTCTTTCTTTTTTTATTATTGCTGAAATAGTTTCCCAACTTTTTATTGAGGAAAAAGTTCAAACCTGTAGAAAAAATTAAAATAATAGTATAATGAAAAAAATTTCCCTTTTAGATTCACCAAATCTTAATAGTCTACCACATTTGCTTTCTCTTTTTCTGTCTTTCTCTCTCTATATATATACAAGTATATACATATATTTTTTATGGGTGCATTTAAAAAACAGTTGCAGACATTAGGACACTTGACCCATAAATACCTATAATTAAAGTATTTTAAAACCTATCTCAGCCCTCACATCATCTTAGTTCTTTATCTATGCCTCTAAAAAAGGCAAACATTTTCTTTCATAACAACTAACAAAATTAACAATTCCTTGTTTTCACATAGTACCCAGTCAATAGCATGTTTTGTCTATGGTCCTTTCAAAAATACCTTTCTGTGATTAGTTTATTGGACTCACAAGTCCAATCTCTACAAATCCACACCTTTCGTTCCCTTGTTATACCCCTTAAGTCTCTTTTGTAAAACTGAGATAAAATTGGAGTACAGTAGGTCTTAAGTGTCCAATTGGATGAGTTGTTAAATGTGTATATCCATGTCACCTCCATAGTAGAAATTCCCTTTTTTCCTGCATGTAATACATTTTATTTTATTTTATTTTTTATAGAAAGTATAGTTGATACCTCCCTTTTTGAAGAGAGCAGTTCTGTGGGATGTTCCACATTCTGAATGTGTCTGTTTGCTTCCTTGTAGTATCACTTTAATTGATTTTTCTGTTGCCTATATTTCCTGTAAACTGTAAGGTGCTCCAAAATCTTAATTAGATTCAGCTTCAACTTCTTTTTGGGAATGAGGAGTAAAAAACACTTCATGGGTGCAGTGTGCTCCATACGGCATCACGTCCACGAGCACAGCATTCCATTAGGCATCAGTCATGTCGAGGGGTAACAGTCTGGGGATGGGTGTATGGGTGGCAGGCAGTGGGTGGGCCTGAGGCGTATCATCAAGATACTCACCAACCCTTCATGCAATGGTTTCATCCTTGCAGGACCTTTGCCTGAATCAGTCATTTCATTAGGATTTGCAGAAATAGCAGTGTCTGATTCTGTCTAACTTATTAGGAGGGATTCTCTTGTGAAAAAGAACTTTACCTCATAACCAGAGCTTCAGTTTTGTTACTGCGTGAACTGTTAATGGTCATATTTGAAGTGGTTTTGTTTTTTGAAATGGCCAGTGCAAACAGACTGATATGTAAATATGTCAGGTTAGACAGTAAATGTGTTTCCTTTTCCTGTTTTGTTCTCAAGTGAATGCTAGCTGAAGTTACCCCCAAGAAGATTTAGAAGACAGAGCTGAAGCAGTGAGTTTCCAGTGGGCTGCCTAAAGCTCAGAGAAGGGACAGGCTTTCCAGAGTGGGAGCTGCCTCCAAAAGTAGTGAGCTCTCCATTAGGGATAGGTGAGCTCCAAGCACACACTCTGTGCAGGTGTTATGGGAGAAAACTGTTTCTTTCCCAAAGAAAATCTTTAGGATTTTGGAGTCTTTGGGTCTCCAAATTTTTTGGCCCTTTCCCAATACCAGGTACAGATGATGAGGGAGTGGGAAGCTCTGGTTGAGGTATCTGGAGGGAGATTCTCTGGGCCAGTTTCACTTTGGCAGCAACCGTGGTCTCGAAGCCGGGAATCTTACAAGAGCCAAGGAATGGGAAGAGGGTGACCAGGAGCAGGGTCCGCTGGGACTTCCTGTTTGTTTTAACGCTATCTTATCTTTCTATTGAAATAGCGCATAAACACAAATCATCATATACAAGTCAATAAATCTTCAAAAAGTGAATACGCCCAGGTAACCAGCAAGAAACAAAGCATTTCAAGTTCTGCGCAACCCCCTCACACCCCTTCCAGTCCCTGCCCCAAGGATAACCATTCTAAACGAACTTTAATTTGATATAAACATGCTCTTCTATATCTGACTTCTGCTACTCAGCACTCTTTCTCTGAGATTCACCCACGATGTCGTGTGGCTGCAGCTCGCTCATTCTCATTGCCGTGCGGTTTCTGCTGTATGAACAGACCACAAATTAATTGTCCCTTCTGCTGTTAATGGACATGAGGTTGTTACCAGTTTTGATTATGACGAATAATGCTGCTTTGACATCCCTGCATTCGTCTTTGGTGAACACATGTCCATTTAACAGTGGGTGTAAACCTAACAGTGGAATTGCTGGGTCAGAGTATAGTGTATGTTCACCACACTATGATGTAGTAGATGTCAGTTTTGCAAAGCTGTTTTACCAGTTTTCCCCCAGAGGTGTGAGAATTTTGGTTCTCGTCAACACTTGGTATTTTCCATCTTTTTAGTCATAGTCATTCCAGGAGATGAGTAGTATCTCATAGTGGTTTTAACTTGTGTTTCCCTGATGACTGATGAAGTTGAGCACCTCTTCATGGGTTTATTGCCATTTGGACAGCCCCTTTTATGGGATGACTGTTCAAGTCTTTGGTCCAGGTAAAAAAAATTGGATTGTCTACCTTTTTCATCTTATTTTGCAAGAGTACTTTGTTTAATAGTTGGAGCCCTTTCAAGTCTCTAGCTTCCCCCAGCATGCCTGGGACAGCCTGTTTGAGAACTCAGTAGGGCTTCACACTGTGACTTCTCTGTTTAACCAGATGACTTACATAGAAGAGTTTTATCTTTTTTCTGTGTGTGTGTGTGTGTGTGTGTCTGGTCACAAGCACTTCCTCCAGTGACGCTGATGATGACAAAGATGCTGTGGCTGATGCTGGCAGCTAGCACCACATAGCACTTTACACAGGCCACACAGAGTCCTAAGCTCTTTATGTATCAACTCATTTAATTGTTCCAATGAACCTATGAAGAAGGTATTATCATTTTGCCCATTTTATAGGTGAGGGAACAGAGGTTCTGGGAGCTTAAGAAAAAGTCTCATAAAAGCTGAAGTGGCTTCAGAGAGTGTGCTGCTGACTTGTGTGTGTCTGATGCTGCTCTGGACAGCATCTGTCTTCTCGTCTTCCTGTCTTTCTTGTCCTCTAATTTTTAAGTGCTTCTCAACAGGCACTCACTGTATCTTAACATCCAGCTTGCTGGTGGGGTTCAGCCCCAGGGAGGGCTGGGGTTACTATGACAGCAGCTGCCATTTTCCAAGTCCTGTGCTAAATATCCCTGGTGCATAACTCAAATACTGCTTCCTATAACCCTGGGGACTGAGCACCTTATCAGCCCCATTTTACAGATGAGAAAACCAAGAGCTAGAGAAGTAAAATGACATGCCAAGATCACACAGCTGTTCCTGGTAAAGCCAGGTTTCACACTCAGGCCTGTCTGCCTCCTGACTGAAATCACAGCTCTGGAGAGGCCACAGCCTGTTGACTCATTGGCTGCGTTTGGCCTCACACATACTTTGATTGGCTTGCACAATGCGTGTTTTCTTGGTTGGGATTTGGTTTGGTACTGTGGCTGGTTTAGAATCCTGGGCCTGAGTTGCTGCATGGTGACTGTCAGCTGGAGTGAGCTGCATCTGCCCTTGAGCCCGGTTGGTATGGCTCAGCTGGGGCTATGCAAGGACCATCTCATAAAGCCAACTAATCTGCTGGATGCAGTTGATCTTACCTGCAAGGTCTCTATGTGTTTCTGAGGTGTGATTCCTTCATTCATTGCACAAAGTTCACATAGCACTTGCTCTGTGTGAGGCCCTGTGCTGCATGTGGGGGTGATGAGCAGGCTTTCCATAGACCAATACGGTCATTTATGGCCTAAGGAGCCCCCACTGACCTGAGTTCAGGGCGCTTGAATCATGTGGTGGACAGTGAGGCTGGAACAGATAGCTGAGCCTCCCACACCAGGATGGGGACTCGAGGCTTTATCTTTCAGGTGGTAGGGAGCCATTGAAGGTTTTGGACAATGCCCAGGGAGGTACCATGAGTTCACTGGGGGAGGATCAAGAGGGTGAGATGAGTTTAGCCTGGGATGTGCTGGGTTTAGGGTCTCTGGAACATTCAGTGGTTGCTGTCTGGTTAAGCGGCTATATGAGCCTGCAGTCAGGAACGTTCTGGGTTAGGGTTAGAGATCTGAGAGTTGTTGATGATTAGGTGACAGTTAGAGGAGTGACTATGAATAGAACCATGCCAGGGGGAGAGGGAGGGATGAAAAGTTAAGTAGAATGGTTCAGCCCCCTCAGGTTACAGATAAGCAGATGGGGCCAGAGGAAAGTCATTTGCTTGAGGCCTCAGTAGTGTCATTCATCCATTCCTTCAGCAGATATTTGTAAAATACCTACTATGTGCTAGAAATGATTCTGAATGCTGGGATACAGCAGTGAGCAAAACACCCATGGAGCTTACTTTCCATGGCTGGATCCAGAAAACAGTTAAGTAAATATTGTGTCCAATGGTGGTAAATGCTGTGGATTAAAATAAAGCAGGGTGAGGAGACTAAGGAGTGCTGGTTTGTGATTGCTATTTTATGTGGAATGGTCCAGGGAAGGCCTTGCCGATAAGGTGACATCTGAGCTGAGACCTGAAAGAAACAAGACAGTCAGCCAGGCAGATGAGGGAAGGGTGTTCCAAGAAGAGGGAACAGCATGTGCAGACACCCTGAGGCAGGAAGGAGCGTGCTTGGCATGTTGAAGGAAGAGCAAAGAGGCTGGTGTGGCCGAAGCCAGCTGAGCAAGGAGGAGAGTGCTAGGGGACCAGAGAGTGCAAGAGATGTGGGTAAGGGCGGGGGAAACATCAGGTGGGGCCACCTGGCCCCGTTATTGAAGACTTTTCCTCTCAGAAGGGGAACCACTGGAGGATTTCAAGCCAAGATGACAAGATCTGACTTAGAGAATCACTCTGGCTTCTCTGTTTAAAACAGGCTATAGGAGGCAGGGGCGGAAGCAGGGAGAACAGTTAGGAGGTGGTTGCCATAATCCAGGGGAGGATTGATGGTGGCTGGGATCAGAATGCTGCCAGGAAGTGCAGCCAGAATGCGGGCCGGGAAGTGTGATTGGGCTCTGAATATATTTTAATGGTAGAGCCAACAGAATTTGCTAATGGACTGATTGAAGAATATGAGAGAGAGAAAAAAAAAAAGGAATTGAGAATGACTCTTAAGATTTTGACCCAAGCAATAGGAAGGATGGAGTTGCCATTAGGTTGAGATTGTATGACACGCAGATTTCAGCGTGGATGGGTGAAGTTAGAACTGCCTTGCAGACACTAACATAGAGGTTTCAAATTGGTAGTACCAGCAGCATTAAGGCCCCTTTTCAGCTCCTTCCCCTCCTTTCAGATTCTGAGTCCTTCTGCCCCCTTCTCTGGGACCATCTTCCTAAGTCTCCCATCCGTGGCAGCTGACCTGGGCCACTGGCAGCCTGCCCACACTGGGAACTGACCCGGGCCCTCTGCCCCCAGGTTGTGCACAGGGACCTCAAGCCCAGCAACATCCTGTATGTGGATGAGTCTGGGAACCCTGAGTGCCTGCGCATCTGCGACTTTGGCTTCGCCAAGCAGCTGCGGGCTGAGAATGGGCTCCTCATGACACCTTGCTACACCGCCAACTTCGTGGCGCCCGAGGTGAGTGGCTTGGCCCCTTCAGCTGTAAGAGTGAGGGGACCTGTCACGGGAGGCCTTGTATCCCTCTCTTCTAGAGGCCCCACACTGCCCCGGACTCCAGTCTCTGTGGCTTTGGCCCAGGTACTAAGGAAGGATCAGCCCTCGCCTGGGGCCCTTGTCCTACCCTTTAGGGAGTAGCAGGCAAGCATATGGGGTCATTCATCGCTGCCCCTCAGACTGACCACCCTCCCCTGCCTCGCTTCCTGCCAGGTGCTGAAGCGCCAGGGCTATGATGAGGGCTGCGACATCTGGAGCCTGGGCATTCTGCTGTATACCATGCTGGCGGGGTGAGTGCCCCGCTGCCTGGATCCCCCTCGCCCCCGTCCCTCCTCCAGCCCTAGTGTACAGGCTAGGGTGCTGCTTGTCTGATGGGAGAAACTCAGCCCTGCCTCAGGAAGGTCTGAAGATAGGGACATGGCCCTGCCCTTGGGAGCTCCACCTTGAGGAGGAAGGGGCCGCCCTTGGGAACACCCAGTCTGAAGGAGGAGACACAGTCCCCCAACCCACACTGGCCCCAGGATGGAGGCCAGAGGCTATACCCAGACTGGGTTAACTTTTCTTCAGATACACTCCATTTGCCAACGGACCCAGTGACACACCAGAGGAAATCCTGACCCGGATCGGCAGTGGGAAGTTCACCCTCAGTGGGGGAAATTGGAACACAGTTTCAGACACAGCCAAAGTGAGTCTGCAAGGCCCAAACCCGGCTCATTTAGGGGTGGGGAGGCAGAGTCCCATCCCAGGGCTTTTCAGCATTTCACGAACAGGTGACCTGCAGCTTCATTTCTTTAAGTGGAAAATCCCACAAATCTCTGTTACTATATTTTTCCAAATTAAAGATTCCCAGGCAGACTGCTCCCCACCCCTTGTTTGGACAACTTGGGGAACATTCACTGGCCCTTCCCGTGTTCTGAGCCCTGAAGGGGGACAGAGGGCTGCATAATTACAGCCCCTGATTTGTGGGAACTTAGCGTGGATGGAGATACAGGCTTGCACACAAAGAACTGAGATGCCAGGTGCAGAGAGTGGCAGGGCCTCCTGGCTAGGGGTACAGGCAGTGGAGGCATAGAGCAGACAGAGCTACTGGCCACGCCAAGCAGAGAGGCCTTCCCAGCAGAGGGAACATCTGAGCTTTCAATATTAGCAACAGATTCCAGTTATGGGAACCTCTGTGTCAGACACTGGGTTGAGCCCTTAATGAACAGTACCACCTCACAGTGACTTTATGAGTCAGGCATTGCTGTTATACTGTTTCTCAGAGGGGAAACTGAGGCCCAGAGAGTTGAAGTAACTTGCTCAGTTGAAGGATGTGCAGTTGATGAGCAGAAGAGTCAGGCTTTGAACCTGCCCAGCCCCAACCTTAGGTTCTTCCCAGCTTCCTGCATGGCTTCTAGAAGGTGAAGGAGAAAGGAAAGGGCCTTCCAGGAAGCAGTCCCAAAGAAGGGCACATGCTCAGGGAGGCCCTGGAGTGGTCTGAGAGTGGATCACGGGGTCTACTGCAAGGGTTCAGGCAGGAGGCGGCAGGAAGGCAGCTATGCTCACCCCTATACCACCAACACTGCACTGGGAGACGGCAGGAGATGGTTGCCTTACCCATTCCCCATCAGCAGGACACAGCTGTCTGCTCCCTGCTAGCCCCTCCCACCAACCTCCTAACCTGCTGTTCCCCCAGGACCTGGTGTCCAAGATGCTACACGTGGACCCCCACCAGCGCCTCACAGCCAAGCAGGTCCTGCAGCACCCATGGATCACCCAGAAAGACAAGCTTCCCCAGAGCCAGCTGTCCCACCAGGACCTGCAGCTGGTTAAGGTACAGCCACCTTGACTGCCAGGCATCTAGGGGCCCAAACCAAGGTTCCATGGGGAAGTACTTGGGGTGGCAGAGCCAGGAGATGCCATATCTGTCTCTCTCCAGGGAACCTTAGCCTGACATGCAGGGGTGTCAACAGTGTACTCATGGGTCCCCAGTCCTCTGGAGGGCACAGCCTCTGACCTCTGAAGCCTCCAGTCTGATGGAGGAGGCAGGACTAATAACCATGATGAACCACCAAGATGGAGTAACAGGGGATTGGGTGGGCTGTGGAACACTGAGAGGGGCTGGTCCAGGCCTGGAACACATGTCCCTTCCATCATCATGAACTGACCTCCCACCTTCTCCCCCAGGGAGCCATGGCAGCTACATACTCTGCGCTCAACAGCTCCAAGCCCACCCCTCAGCTGAAGCCCATCGAGTCGTCTATCCTGGCCCAGCGGCGGGTGAGGAAGCTGCCGTCCACCACCCTGTGAAGGGCCAGAGCATCCAGGCCGCAGGGCGGTGCTAGCTCTATGAAAGCAGCATACTTCCCAGAGGGAGTGGGCCTGAGTCACAGGGCCAGAGGAAGCGGAGCCCTGAGGGGCCCAGGAAGCAGCCAGCCCAGGTCACCCCAGTGAGGGTGTGAGAAGTGCCTTCTCCTTCCCTAGGATGGATTCTTCTCGGCTCAGGCTCTGCTGACTGAAATCGATTCACTGTACAAACTCTTACCTTTTTTAAGGAAAAAATGGCATCAACCACCATGGATTTTTACAAGATCCATTTGCCTTCCTGGGAGCAGAAAGCCAGTGCAGCCCCAGGAGGGGCACTGAGTCACACTAGGGCTCTCTGTGTCTGAGACTCCTTAGAGCATCTTTGGGGTGTCCCCTAGGGGACCCCCCACGTTTGGCCACCTGTAGCCATCTGCACTCACCTCCAAGGCAGTCCAGCATCACCTTCCAGAGCCCTTGGCTGTTTAGCAGAACTTGCTCTATCCCCAGTCAGCTCCTTCTCTGTCCTGCTGGGAGGTCTGGAACCACTTCCTGCTAGAGAGGACCAGGGCCCTGTGGCTCCCAGCTCCAGGCACCAGCATCCCCGTTGGCCCCGCCAGTGGGTCCCCTGCAGTCAGGTTGGGCAGCCCCTGGAGGAGGATTCGGAAAGCACTTTTTGGCTGACTTCTGTTGGAGTCTGCCACTAAACAGAGTTCACAGGAGGCCTGTGGGGCAGGCTAAGGGGGCAGGGGCTTTTTTCATTTCTTCCTCAGCTGGTAACTCAGGGTTCATCTGTCCATGGCCTTTCTAATAAACTTACAGTTGAGTTGAAGCATGCTCGCCTCTACTCTTCATCCCTGGATTTGCCCTCCCTCTGCTCTTAGGTTTTCAGGACTTTGGGAGTGACAAGTAGTGGACCAGGGCCAGTTAGCCCAGCTGCTTGGAGCTCTGTTGGGGAGCATGTAGGAGTCCCGCTGGCCCTGCCCGCACATTCCTGCCAGGGATTCCATTATGGTGTTGATAACAGTAATGGGGTTATTAGCCACCAGTGACCGAGTGCTGGGTACTGTGCCTGGGCCTTGCTTGTACTTCTCATTTAATCTTAACAACCCTGTGAAGTAGATGCTGTCATTATTACTATCCCTGCTTAAGAGATGGGGAAACTGAGGCTCAGAGAGGTAATGACATTTCCTCACATAATAAATTTTTTCTGAGTACCTATTCTGGCTCTGTTCCAGAAGCTGGTGAACCAAGTAGAAAACAAGGTCATTGTTTTCCTGGGTCTTGTTTCCTAGTGGGGAAACAGACAAAGGTCAGCTGCTGATGTGACTTGCAGAGTTACATTAGGGTCAGATATGGGGTGATCAAGGAGAAGACCTCTTAGGGAAGAGGACCCAGAAACCGAGATCTGAATGATGAGAAAGGCCCAGCCAGGACCAGAAGGCAGAGGGCAGTGTCTGGACAAAGGCCCCAAGGGGGAAAGAGACTGGGCTTGCTCAGGGACTGGAGAGAAGTCATCGCTGCTGTGGTCCAGGGGTTTGCACAAGATGAAGTTTGGGAAGGAGGGCAGGGGCCAGGCATGCTGGGCTTTGTAGGCTAGAGTAAGGAGTTAGGATTTAATTCTAAGTGATACGTAAGCTCCTAGAAGAATTTAATGAAGCAGGAAAGTGATGTGATTTGATTTATACTTTAAAACAATTACTCTAAGTAATGTATAGAGAATTGATAGTGGGGAGAGGGCTGGTAGGAAGCAGGGTGACCAGATTGGTGGCTACTGCAGTAGCTCACACAGAGATGAGGCAGTCTGGACTAGGGTGGTGGGAGTGGAGATAGGGAAGGAGGAGACAGGGTCAGGATATGCTTTGAAAGTAAAGTAGACAGCACTTGCTGTCAGTTTGGATGCAGAGTTGAAGAGAAAAAGGAGACTCATTGATAATCTTCCAGATTTTTGACTTGAGCAGTTGAGTACTGAGGGAGAAGTTGGGGAGGAGCAGGTTTGAGAACTCTGTGGGAGATGCCTTATAAATATCCAAATAGAGGTATCAACTAAGAGTTTTGATTAGAAGTTGGAGTTGTGGAGAGAGGTTTGGATTGGAAGTATAAGTTTGGGACTCTTAGTTTGGGGAAAGTTTTTAGAGCCAGGAGGCTGGACTTTCAAAGTGTGGTCCACAGACCAGCAGCATCAGCATCACCTGGGAGCTTGTTAGGAATGCAGAATCCCATCCCCAGAACTGCTTAGTCAGAATCTATATTTTAATGAGATCTGCATGTGACTTGTGTCTACACTGAAGTTTGAGAAGTACTTTTGTAGGGGCTGAGAGCAGAGAAGAGGACTGTGATTAAGTCCTGGGACACATTAGCATTTAAAGATGGCCTAGAGGAGGGTGAGCCAGCAAAGGAGACAGGTAACAGTCACTCAGTGGGGACCTGCCGGTCTGGCAAGACTGAAAGCCTTGTGAACCAGGGTCTTTTGCTTCACTATTTCTCAGCCTCCTCACTTTACTGATAAGAAAGCAAGGGTCTCAGAGGTAGGTTGCATTATGATGGAAGGAGATACTGACACTAGCAGTTCAGCTGCAGAGCTGGCCGCGGCACACGGGTTCTGAGCTACAGCCTCCCCACAGGAGCAGGGAAGGCTGAACTGGAGCCCCAAGGACTGAGGAGCCCTCATGAACACCCACTGATGCACACATACCGAGCCCCTGACCTGGGTATATTCACTTCTCTGTGTGGTGAAACCAACATTTTCCGTCTTACCTGCCACCCGCAGTTGTCCACCCTGGACCCCATCATCCTTGCCGGAATCCTGGGCATCATCCCTGACTCTTTTCCCCACTTCCTACATCCAATCTGCCTCCTTGCCCCATCAATATTACCATCTAAATATTTTGGGGATCCATCCCCTCCTCTCCATTCTCCCTGCCTACCTGTCCATTTTTTTGTTCTTTGCCACAGCCTACCAATTCCATTCAGTTTTTGTGTCCTCAATGACATCTATTTAGAATCACAAATCTGACCCAGCATCTGCCCTGTTGTGGCTCCTCTCTGTTACAGAGAAAGCCCAGACATCCTAGCCTGACAGTCAATGTCCTGTGTGATCTGGTCCTTGCTGAGCCCCTGCATCAGCTCTCATAACTTGTCCCCAAACTGCTCACAAGACCCAAAGCTGCCATGCTCCTGCCTCCACTGGGTTCTAATTGGGTAACTTCAACTCATTCTCTAGGAAAATTCAAATGATACCTCCAGGAAGCCAACTAGGACACCCCAGACAGGGTTTGGCAGCCTCCCTTGGTGTCTCCAGACACTCTTACTCTCCACCTCTTTGTATATCACACAGCTTTGGAAATAGCTAGTGATGTGTTTTCTCCCTTTCAGTCTGTGAACTCAAAAGAGGTGGGCTGTGTTTTGTTTATTTCTGTATCCCAAGCATCCGGCACAGACCTGGGACACAACATTTTGGTCCTCAGCTAGTGTTTGTTGAATGGATGAGAGAGAGAATACAGGGACCATGGATTTGGTGATGTCGGAGGAAGCATAGAAACGCCACCCACGGAGTTGCAGGAGCCTGGAAAGGCATCTGGAGAGGAGGAAGGGAAAACTGATGCTCTGAGGCATTGAGCAATTAGTGTCTTGCTCCAGGCACCAGAGGGAAGATTCAAGAACCAGGAAATGGTGCTTGATAGAGTGGGAGCCCACAGCTGCTTTCTCAGCAGCCTCTCTGTGCCTCAGTTTCCCCACTTGCTAAATGAGGATCATAATCTGTGTTCATCTTACAGCATCACCTGAAGATCAAATGAGCAAGTGAATATGAACATATTTTGGAAGGTAAAAAGTGCAGCTTGTCCAGTTAAGCTTGTTTGAACTTTCACAAGGTCAGGATGACCCCCAGGAACTCAGCGGACTCCAGAACACAGTTCCTAGCCACCAGCATCTCAGCCAGGAACTTCCCTCCCTCAGAGCTGACTCCCTGGGCAAAACCCACTAATAGAAATAACCTAACTTGGGGAAACAAATTGTCAGTCCAGATGTCCCCAGGTTCCAGAGTCACTTTTCCCTTTGACGCTTGCCCAATGCTGGAGCTGCCACCCTGTAGGGTTCCCTTTCCCATAAAATGTTGGCTCTGGTCTATTAAACAAATACTATGTGGAGGTGCTGGATGCCAGGTGTTTTCCATGCTTTATTTCATTTGATCCTCATGTGAAGAAGGAGATATGATTAATTCTATTCCACATGTGAGAAAGTTGAAATAGGAGGTTAAGTCATTTGCCACTTAGGACACACCTAAGTGGCAAAACATAAGTCAAATTGAGGTCTGTGTGGTTCTGAAACTTACTCTTAACGGTGTATTTAGAGGCCTCTCTGCTTCCAAGATGCCCAAGATTTACTTAACATGTTCTACAGACCTGGCTCCTTATCAACTTTCCCCTCAGCCAGCCTTGTGTTCATAAAGGTCATAAAGGTATAACACTGGGGTCTGGTCTCAATTAGAGCATGTAGTTGTTAGATAGTTACATTTGCCAGCTGGCAAACAGCAGAGAACAACTTAGGAAATTTGGGGAGTTTCCTATGGATAGCCTCAGAAGGTAGCGAGTTCTCCATTGCCTGGGCTGCACACGCGGAGAACTAATGAGACTTGTCAAGATTTTAGAGGAGATTTCTAGTTTCAGTTGCGGACTGTTTAGATGATCTTACATGTCCCCTCTGAGTCAGAGACTCTAATTCTCAATTGTTGGCAAAGGCATCAAAGTCCCTAATTTTTTCTTGTGTTTTGCTCACTTACATTTTGTGTTTTTCTTGATTATTTCTGAGACAGACATCCTTAAAGAAAAGGCTGGTTTCCCACAAATGTTAAGCATCTAAACATTTGGTGCTTTGGTTAACACATGGATTTAATCCTCAATTTGGCCATTCATTTAAAGGCATGGTTTATTGAGTTCCTGCTTTACACTGGGCACAATATACACATCGCCCCTAATACTCAAAGCAATCTCATGAGGCAGGTATGGCAATTTCCATCTTATAACAAGGAAACTGAAGTTAAGAGAAGAAACTTGCCCACAGTCCTCCAGCAAGGAGGTGGCTGGGCTGGGTTTTGAACCCAGGTCTATTTAGCCCAAAGCTCATACTATGCCACCTTTCTGCATGGGCTAAATTTCATTCCACAGTGACTCATAAAATCTCACAGTTAGAAGGGCCCTAAAGGCCCAGAACCAGTCTCCGCCCATGACAGGAATCTCCCATAGATGGTTATCCAGTTTCTGCTCAAATACCCCCAGCGACAACGGAGACTCTACCACATCACAAGGCAGCCCCTGACACGGATGGAAAGTTCCTCCACTTTGAACTGAGGTCTTCTGAGTAGGTTCCACTTCTTGGGGGGTTCCCACTAACTCCAAGGGAGAAATGACTCAGCAGTAGCAGGAGGGAAATCTACATGACACCCTCACCCACACCCCCAGTGAAGGCAGCTGCAGCCACAGGCAAAAGATTGGCGCTAAAGCTGTGCTGCTGAGAGAGAAAGACACGGGGAGGGAGCAGGAAGGCCTGGTGGGCCATCCCCACCTCCAGGGCTATGCAGTGCTTGCCTCCTGCCCAGCTCATCCGTGAAGGCAGCGGTCAGTGGGTGGTGGGAACTGTACTGGACGTGAAGTCAGAGGGATCTGCAATCACACTCCAGCCCCAAAGCTGACCTGCTGTGTGACCTTGGGCAAGTCATTTCATTGCTCTGAGGTTTCCTCAACTGTCACACAGGGCTGTTGTGAGCATTAAAGGAGAGGGTGTGCCTAGAGAGCTGCCGGGTTATAAGAAATCAGCAACCAGGACGTAGGAAGA